GGTGGACTTTTCATCTCAGCTCCTCCCTAATTTCCAAATCATAAAGAAATGATGTTATTAATAAAGGGAATGGGCTTCTATGGGCTGGCTAACAGGTAGGGGATGTCCTGCTATGATATGTGCTGGATTGCAGGTAATACAAAAGCTGAAGATTAGGTGATGCCTCCCTCAAAATAGCCTCCCCCAATGCTGATTAACTCATATCTGGAAAACAAGCCAGACTGGAGACCAGAATGGGGATCTCTACATAAATTTCAATATAAGTATCTTAATGAGTAACTTTTCTTGCCTAGTACCTTACCAAGACTTACCCAGATGACTTATAGTTGTGGGACACAAATATATGTCACCTAATAATGATGTGTGTGTCACACTCTTGAGTGGATAAATAAACTGCAGTTTACCTGCCTGTATTCTGTGCTAGCTTATTTGTGCAGTTGCTACTAAGGACCTTGAAAATTTTCAGAACTGTTGCCTGAAAATTGTTTAGATAATTCGAATTTCAAATGATTCTTCCATAGGGGGTATCTGGTTCTTCTCCTGAGAAGCTTTTTAGCCTGGATTAGTGAAGCCTATGCCCTGAGAAGGACAGAGTATGTGAAATGAATATTTCTCTCTTGTATTTAATAACTAATTATTATATTAGGACCATGGTTTTTCCCCTTTTCTACTTCCTCATCCAGAAACCAACCAGTGTGGGAAATCTCTCTTAAAGATTTACTGAGGCCAAGATCGAATCAGAGAGTAAAAGAAATTCTAAGTCTGGACTAACGGATATATTCCTGCTCCTTGTGTTTGTTCTGACAGGTTTGAGAAAATGTTGATTCTCCCTTTAGTGGAGACAGGTGATATGGACATTGATGTTTCTTTGACCAGGATTTGGGTGACCTAAGTCACATACCCCAAGACCTTCATTTTGATAATAGCCCACCTCCCATTGTGTTAGTCAGAATTGATTGGCACCTCTCAAGAATACCTGCTCTTCGAAGGGCAAATAAACTGTGAGCCCATCACCATTAGGGGTCTTTGGTCTAAGAGAGGTAGCCAAATGACCATCTTTTTATTAATAACATGTTGGCCTTATTAATAAAATGATTAAATAACCCAGAAACTATGTCTCTGAAATTTTTTTTATTGTCACAAGAAGCCTATCAGCATCTTTAGCTGGTCCTGGTCCTGTTAAATTTTTATCGATTGTTTGTTTACCTATATCACCTTTATGTTTGACTATATGCCCCCTCTTTTCCTTACCTACAAGTAATTTCTTGTACAAAGAATAAAAAAGAGGGGGAAAAGCAGTTGAGCAAAACAAACCAAGAGATCACAGGGGACAGCATGGAAAGAGCATTGAGTCTGGAGTCATAGGCCCTGGGTTCATATCCTGCTTCTATTTACTGACTCTGACCTTGAGCAATAATAATAAACATTTATATAGTACTCTATAAAGTTTGCAAAGCACTTTACAAACATCTCATTTGATCCTCACAACAAATGTGGGAGGTAGGTAAGGAAACTGAGACAAAGGTTAAATGACATGCCCAGGGTCACACAGCTGGTAAATGTCTGAGGCTGAATTTGAACTCAGGTCTTCCGGATTCCAGGTCTAGTGCGCTATCTACTGTGCCATCTAACTGACTAGGTAAGTCAGTTAACCTCCTGGGTCTCGGTTTCCTTATCTGTAAAATGACTGGGTTGTATTAGATGACCTCTGAGGTCTCTTCTAGCTGTCTTGAGAAAATTTAATAAAGGTAGACTGAGGTATAGACTTCCAGCAAGATCAGATTATTAACTTCCAGCAAGATCAGGTTATTAACAGTGAAACTTACAGGGTCCAACTGGCAACTTCAGCAAAGCTAGTAACTTCAAAAGAGGGAGGGGACCTGCTTTATTGACACACAACAAAGAAGGTATGGTAGGTATGGAGAAAAGGTGATAAGTTGTAGGGTTGGGGCAGGAACATTATGACTGACTGTACTAAGAAAGGCAGGCTGGCATTCAGGTAAGGCTAATCAAGCCCTAACAATTATCTGCATCTTGTAGTCTTTGCTAGGGGATCACAACTTCTAGACTTGCTGTCTTCTTGGACAGGATTGGAAACTCCCCTAAATACACAAAGGTAGGTAAGCACAAAAGACATGGTAACACGTTAACTAAACTAACTTTAAGCTTACTCAGAGGGAAAGTTAAATGCCTGAGCTCAACTCAAGGACATGGAAAAGTGGCTTTAGGCAGATGCAGACTCAGTTATAAAAATCAATACAGCATAAAATCAATTACATTGTAGGACCAATATATACAGTAGAAACTAAAGGTAATATTAATTTTTAACTTTTCATAGTGCTGTGATCCTGTGGTTAAGTCTAACAATATATGTAATATTTCACAGCTATCATTCTCTTACTTTTACTAGAAAGGGAGGGAGGTGCATTTTCTCATCTGTTCTCTGGGGCCAAGTTTGGTCACTGTAATTAACTAGTATTCAGGTTTTTGTTGTTTGTTGTGTTTTTTTTTTAAATTTACGTTGGTGTAGTTATTATGTATATTGTTTTCCTGGTTTGCTTACTTTGCTCTGCATCTATTTGTGTCTCTTCCAGTGCTTTTGTGAATTTTTTTTAATAGACATTGCTTTTTATGGCACTACCTTCATCTACTACTATTTGTTTAGTCATTTCCCTACTGATGGACCTTAGATATTTTTTCTTCAGGGTCAGTAATGACAATGTGTCTTTAAATACTCCCTCTTTGATTAAAGGGGTTTTGACTCAATGCATTATCTCTTTATCTTCAGTTTTCAAATATTCTCCATAAATTTCATAGAGCTTTTAGAATAGAATCCTTTGTTCAGGTAACTAAATGAGAATAGGGTTTTTTCCCCCTTCATATTGTTTAGTAAATACTCTACATCTGCCAAAAATATCTGTATTATCACATACAGCATTCTCAATTTTGTTATTCCTTAAATCATGAGATTTTTTAAAACTGGAAGTCCTTTAGGTATGACGAAGGATATCTTATGAAAAAACACAAACATAGGGGCAGCTAGGTGGCACAGTGAATAGAGCACTGGCCCTGAAGTCAGGAGGACCTGAGTTCAAATGTGACCTTAGACCAAACACTTGATACTTACTAGCTGTGTGACCCTGGGCAAGTCACTTATCCCCAATTGCCTAAAAGAAAACAACAACAAAAACCCCCCCCACAAACATAGAGAAGCGATTTGGTCTGGGCACATGTGAAAAGGGTATACATTGGGGAACAAGAGTTGCTTGCCACAGATGAAGGGACACATATAGGGAGCACACATAGCTAGGACTAATGTGGGGAAGGGCAATTCACGACTCCAACACTGCAGTGCTTGCCAATGTCTTCTGCTGTTATTGTTCCACTCCTGCTGGGCCTCCTCTCTAGGCTGAGTGTATGATCTCTGCTGAATGTATATTTTCTGGCCAGATGCTCTGTCTTTGTTGAATGTTTCTCCACTGGACTTGGGGTTATTGCTGTCCACTGCTAGGTACTGATCCTTGGTGTGTGTAGTTGTTAAAGCTTCCAGCTTTTAGATTCAGCTGGACTACTTAACTGGGGTGCTAATAAGAAGAATGGGCTCGCTCCATGCAAAACTTTTTTTTAAGCAGAGGGATTTATTAGACATAAAACCCTGAAACCTTCCTACCTTTTTTTATTCTAGGAGTGGACAATGTGTTTACTTAGGAGCATTTGCTACAAAAGGCTTTTCATCTGCAGAAGATTTTTGCTTTAAGTACCTAGCTCTTCTTAGTACAGATCATGGTCTCACCCAATTAAATAACGCCTTTAGGGTTAGTTCTATTTTTTGAACTCCATTTCCTGGGGATCAGGGCTACAGTAGCTCCATCATAGACCTGGCTCTAGGTTAGGGGGATCATTCCTTAGTATTCCTGGTTAAAATCTGGTAGGCAGATTGCACCTAATTAACCTATACTCTAGCCCTCCCATCAGTTCCTTCAGTTTCTCATTTGCAAAACTTTCATTACTGCCTTAAGTGACCAACAAAACCTTTTGAGGTCTTTTCTCCTAGAGACCTGGCTTCAGATTTCCACTTTGATGCGTGCTGGATATGTGATTCTGAGGAAGTCATGCCATATCTCTGGCCCTCAGTTTTTTTCCTGGTAAAATTAGGGAACTAATACTGGGGAACAGAGCCCTTCAGAGCTGGAAGAGACCTTGAAGATTAAATGACAAAGTGGGCAGAGCTCTTGAGTCAGGAAGACTGGAGTTTAAATCCAGCCTCAGACATTACTAGCTGTATCACCCTGGGCAAGTCACTTAGCTTTTGTCTTCCTCAGTTTCCTCATCTGTAAAATGGAAACAACACCTGCCTCCCAGGGTTGTTGTGAAGATCAAATGAAATGATATTTGTAAAGTTCCTGGGACACAGTAAGCTCTGTAGCTATTATTATTAAAGTGCTGTGCACGGGTGCCGGGCACCTAGGTGGCACTTTGTAAATGTTAGTTATTACTGTTATTATCAAAGAGTTGTTTTGAGGAAAACATTTTGCAAGCGTTATATTAAGGCAAATTATTAACAGGAGCTGTTATGGACCTGTGGCCCTTCCCTTGTCCATCTGGGTTCAGATATCTGTGGGGGCCTGGCCACTCTCCTCTCTTTTACTTCCTGCTGAAGGAAAGAACTGAAAGCCAGCTCTAGGGTACTGAAGTGTGAATCAGAAGTTGTTTTCCCCCGAAGGTCCGTCCAAAGGGTCATGTTCTTCTAGAGACAAGCTGAAAAGTGGGAAGTCTTTTTAGCTTCAAAAACTGGCCTTAGGCAAACAGCAACCTCCTCCCACTCCAATACCCACTGGAGCCAATTTCAGTTTTCTTTTCCTGCCAAGGCTGTCTTCAGTTCCCTACCCAGTAACCGGTGACTTCAAAGAATTTGAAAATGTGATTGGAAGATGTTACCTGGATACAGCCAATCCTGGGATTGGCCTTGTTAAAAAAAAATAAATCTGCGCTCCCGGCTGGCTGGAGTGCGGCGTCCTGTGGGTGGGGACTCTCTATTGAGCTGTCTGTTCCTGGAAGATCGGAGCCACAGCTGGAGAGAGCTGGGGGGCCATACAGTCGTTTTTGCCCTCTCCCTCTCCCACATCTAGTTGCGGACTAGCGCTCGGGGCTGGTGAGTAGAGGCCATCAAGGTTAAAGCTTCAATAATTCCCTGCCCGTCTTCCCCAGCCCCCCACTCCCCCACCCCCATTCCCAGGATCCGGAGGGGCCAAATGCGGGCATCCGTGCGGGGGTTGGGGAGGGAGGTGAGGGGGTGGGCAGCCTGTATTACGTATGGATTCCTGATGATGGTTTAGAGCTCTGGCAGCTCTCTGGGTTTTTTCCAGCGCAATCTCCCTGTTCATTTAACCTTTCCTTTTCCAGGTGGTGATCTATCTATCCCCTTGTTGTCTATCTCCTTGCTTCTTCGGTCCATTGCTTAGAGGCATCACAGCATGGAGTTATAAAGGAGATTGTGGGAAGGTGGACCATCCAGGTCCTAAAACGCATTCATTTTTTTTTCCAAAATGACCTGGTTTAGCCGACCATAAAGAACCAGCAGGACTGCTGACCTTTGATGTAGGCGTAGCTCTAGGGGGTAGATGTGTTGTAATGGAAAAGAGGAGACCTGGGTTTGAGCCCTGGCTGTGCCACATATTCGTTTTGTCAGGTTATTTTACCTCATTGTGCTTCACGTAAACTGCGGATAATATCTGCCCTGCCTCCTGCTCTCACAGGTTTGTCCCAAAGAACAAAAATGAGGACTTTGTAAATGGTAAAATGCTATTAAATATGAAATATTTTATTATACGAATAACCATGGCATCCTTGATGTCAGTCATTCCATGAATATTCTCTATGCTTTTTCCCCATCCCCCTCTTAGAGGGTGGGTAAATTATTCTCTTTGGGGCTTCAGGGAACCAAAGGGATGGATGGTAAGCATTATTGTTTTTATAGCCCTGATTATGAGACACAATACTACTACGTCTGATTTATAAGGCATTTAAGGTTCATAAAGCATTGCGTTAAGGGATGTAACAACCTTATGCAGACCTGAAGAGGAGGAAGTTGAGGCAGTTAGAGATGTAATTGATTTGCCCAGTCAGATATTGAGGTTGTCCCTGATTTGGGCCTTGAGCTCAGGTCTTCTGACTCAGAGACTGATATTTTTTGTACTCCACATACTGTATGCACTGCTGAGGTAATGCCATGGATCTGAATTTATGTACTTTAAAAAGAGAGTTGAATTATCCACTCTTTTTTGCCCCTTTGTCCTTCCTTCCCCGCCCCCCTTCCTAACTGTTATTAATCCTTTGAATGTATAAAGTGCCTTTTAATTTTATAGCATTTTTCCCTATTAATTATTGTCATTTGATTCTTACAAAAATCCTATGAGTTGAACAAGATAGATACGATTCTTATTTTGTAGATATAGAAATTGAGGCCCAAAGAGGGTATATTTCTGTTGATCCTACAGAATGGGAGTGATAGAATCTGAATGAACACTAGGTTTTCTGCTGCCCAGCCTAAGGCCTTTTCATCACAAAACACATTGTCTGAATTTGATTTTGGGTGTGACTAAAACCCACATAAGGAAAAGAAAGAATGAAAAGAAGTTGGTTTTGGAAAGCAGAAAATTAACTTGGGTGGTATCCAGGTTAAACTAGGACTTGCTGATTTAGTTGCAACAGAGTGGTCAGACTTAATCTGCATGCCATGGGAAATTAAGCTGAGGCTGTCTAATCAGAGAAGAACCTTTGGTGCCTTCTGCTAGAATAGAGATAGAGGGTGCAATTTGAGGGAGGAGCCTAAGAAAAAGAAGATGGATGCGTAGAATTTGAAGCTGAAAGGGATCATACAAATAATTTAATTTAACCTAATTTTGCAGATGAGGAGATCTAAACAGATAGAATTTGTTTGAACCTTGATCTTCTAGCTCCAAATCCAACGTTCTCTGCACTGCATAGGCAGACAAAAGTGATTAGGTAGGAGGTAGCTGGGCTCAGCCGTGGGGGAAGGGAGGAGACAGGGGAGGAGAAAGGAGGAAAGGAGAGAAGGGGAAAGATGGGAGGGCAGCAGAGAGCAGTCTACAAATGGTGGTTCTGATTAGCTCCCTTCAGTGCTGGGAGAGAGTGGTTGAAATGTGTTTTTTCTCAGTAACTCAGATTCTAGGTAACATTTAATTTATTCACTCCATTTGTGAGGTTGTGCAAATGAAATTTAATGAAAGTTGATTGGACAACCAGTCTGAATCAGATTCTATAATCTGGGAAGTGAAAAGAGATCCCTTTTATTCTTCCTTAAGAAGGAAGAAGAGGTTAAAATTGTTTTCCTCATGATTTCTCGTGTTAATTAGACCAAGTGAGATTTGTTTCCACCCACTGATTCCAGGTCTAGGTGGCTTCAGCAGCACCCTTCTGTTCCTGATTTTTCTGAGCATCAATTTGCTCATCAGTAAAATGGAGAATTAATACTTATAATATGACTGGGCTCTTGCAGGGAGAGAAAAGCCCCAAAATGCTATGGAAATATGAGTTGTTAGTTATTTATATTGATAACTTGATAATATTTCCCAATCTGTTAACTAATTTTATCCTGATGACAAGCCTACAAAGTATATAGGATAGGGTTTTTTCTTTCTGTTTTACACATAAAAAAATGTGAGCCCAGAGAGCTTTAATATTTTGCCTAATGCTATGCAGCAAGTAAATATAGAAGTTGGACAAAAATACAAATTTCTAGGTTCCTAGTGAAGGAACAGTTTAGCTAAAAACACTATAATAATTTATTGTTGTTATAGAAATCTGGTGAGATGATAGATGTCTGGGAGTCCTTTCTTCAGGATTGATATTTATATATAATAAATTCCTAATTAATAAGATTAATAATTGTAATAAATATCTATATAAAGCTTTAAGGTTTGCAAAGTGCTTTACAAATTTTTTTATCCTCATAGAAACCCTGAGAGGTAGGTAATATTATTACCACCTTTTAACAGATGAGAAACCTGAGGCAAAAAGTGGTTGAGTGACTTACTCAGGTTCACACAGCTAAGTGAGTGAGGCTAGATTTGAATTCAGGTCCTCCTGACTCCAGATCCAGCATTCTATCCATTGTGCCAATTTAAATAACTCTCATTTTGCAGTACTTTAAGGTCAACAGAGCACTTTCTTCACAACTGCCCCTTGAAGAAGATAGTATAAATATTATTACCCCCAAGTTATAGGTGAGGAAAATGAGAGGTTGTACCCACAGTTGCATAGCTAAGTGTCAGAGGCAGAATTCAGAACCAGGCCTCTTGACACCCAAATTCAAGATGCTTTCCACTTTACTGCCCTGCTTTTGACTTTTCCTGATGAGAAACAGCTTTTTGACTTCTTTCAGATTTGTGATCATTAACCAGGTTGGGAAGAATGAAATGCTGAGAAGGGTGCAAGAAACATAACCACTAATGACTAATCATCATCTTCTTTCCACTGGGAATTTCTGTGAGTGAAGGCCCAGGGAGAATTAAAAATCACAGAATGGATGCTGGAGTTAGAAGGGACTGTAAAGATAGTCTGACTTAATTTTCTAGATGAGGAAAATTGAGGCCAAGAGGAGAAGTGACCTGCTTTAGGTTAATCCATTTGGCCAGAGTCTAGCTCTTCTTACTCCCTGTGGGGGAGAGGGGGAAATTGGATTCAATTAATATTTGTTAAGTGCCTACTGTATACAAGGTTTTGTGCTAGGCAGACCCTGGGGATTCAGACAGAAATGAAACAATTCCCAATCTCCAGGCGATTACATTCTATCTCTGGGATATAATATGTACACAGAAAAGTAAATACAAAGCCATTTTGATAGGGAGAGAACATTAACCCCTAATGAGATCAGGAAAGGATTCCCCCAGGCATGGAACCTAAGCTGATTCTTGAAGAATGCTGGGAATTCTAAAAAATTGAGGTGAGGAGTATACATTCTAGGGATTGAGGACAGCCAGTGCAAAGATACAAAGAAGATACCATCTTGAGTTTGGGGAACAACTTAGGACAGCTTGGCTGGAACGTAGTGTATGTGCAGGGAAATAACAAGAAATGAATATGTCAAGGTTGGCTGGAACCAGATGGTACACAGCTTTAAATGCCAGGTGAGAAGTTTGTTTTTTATACCAGAGGTAGTAGGGAGCTACTAAGAATTTTTGGATGGAGGGAGGGACATGATTAGATCTGTGTCTTAGGAACATTGATTTGGCAGCTATGTAAAGGGTGAATCGGAGAGGAGAACCCCTGGAAATAATGAGACCAATCAGGAGGTTGGGTAGTTCAGGTGAAAGATAATGAGAGCCTGAACCAGGGTAGTTGCCATGTGAGTGGAATAAAGGTGATTAAAATTGATAGATACTGGGGACAAAGAATTGACAGGATGTGGACAGTGAGGGAGAAGGAAAAGCCAATGTTGACTCCATGGCATGGAGTTATGGTAGGTCTTGTTAAGGAGGTCATGATAAGGACAAAGTCTAAGCTTAGGAGCATTGAGGCAAAGTGGAAAGGGGTGTCATAATCAGAAAGAGATTTCAAAGCTGACAAAAGTCATAGATTTCATGCTAGAAGAAACCTCAGAAGCCCCTGAATCCAGCCCGCCTCTCATTTTACAGATGAGGAAACTGAGGAACATAGGAGGTTATGTGTCCTGCCTAAGATCATATGGTTAATAAGTAGCTGAGGCCAGATTTGAACCTAGTCTTCCCGACTCCTAGTCCAATGTCCTATTAGAATGGCGTTTTGTCTCTTTGGTTCTGGATTATGGAGGTATCACAGTTATGTGTGATGATGATATCAGAAGATATGACCATTTTTATAGGTAGCTGAGGTGAAGTGGTGAATTGAGGAAGCTGATGAACAGGAAGCAAAGAGTATTGAAGAGGACTTTGGTGTATTTCACTGTATAATTGTTGGCTGCAGCATAATCACCACACCCTGTTTTTTCAGTCAGAAAATTGGTTTATAACATTTGGTTGTGTAATCATGGCATGGAATAATTCTGTTCATTACGCTGCTTAAAAGGTAAACAGAGCAGCAGTGCATTCACCAGTGGCATATAGATACACATTCTCAGTGCATTGTTAATGTTCAATTTTAACATATGTTCAT